GACTCCCTATTTTGTTCCATTGATCTATTTGTGTATTCTTTTTGCCAGTAACACAGTCATGATTTCTCTTTTTATTTTTAAATAAAACGTATAATCCTTATATTTAGTTTGACTTTTCAAACAGATGGTTTCTTGCTTTTATGGTGGCAGAATTCTTTTATTCTGAGAATTATGATGAGGTCGGTTATGAATTTTTTCTAAGCCTGAGATTAGACTATGAAGGATAAAACTATAGAAATTCTTGGTCACAGAAAGAAATTAAAAACTGAATAAGAATTCTAGTCTGTTAGGAGTAATGTATTATAGTAAACAGTGATGCTAGGGCACTGTTTTCCATCTTACCACTTCTATGTGTAAAGATCTAGAAGTGGCTTTTTCTTTTCTTTTTGGTTTTTGAGACAGAGTCTCACTCTTGTCACCCAGGCTGGAGTGCAGTGGTGCCATCTCGGGTCACTGCATCCTTCGCCTCCTGGGTTCCAGCAGTTCCTCTGCCTCAGCCTCCTGGGTAGCTGGCACTATAGGCGCCCACCACGCCTGTCAAATTTTTTTGTATTTTTAGTAGAAAGGGGGTTTCACCATGTTGGCCAGACTGGTTTCAAACTCGTGACCTCATGATCCATCCTTCCTGGCCTCCCAGAGTGCTGGGATTACAGGCATGAGCCACCGCCTCTGGACTAGAAGTGGCTTTTATTATTACTGTTATTTTTTGAGACAGAGTCTTGCTCTGTTGCCCATGCTGGAGTATAGTGATGTAATCTCTGCTCACTGCAGTCTCCGCCTCCAGGGTTCAAGTGATTCTCCTGCCTCAGCCTACTGAGTAGCTAGGATTACAGGCACATGCCACCACGCCTGGCTAATTTTTGTATTTTTTATAGAAATGGCATTTAACCATGTTGTACATACTGGTCTGGAACTCCTGACCTCAGGTGATCTGCTTGCCTCGGCCTCCCATAGTGTTGAGATTATAGGTGTGAGCCACCATTATATACAGTGGTCTGAATTATGGCCAGAATTTCTTTTTTTGGTATTATGGGTACCAATATTATAGGTAAATAGGCATAGATATTATTCTTACATTTGTAAGACTTGTATCTTTACAGACTGCTTTGGTATGTATTTTCTATTTAATCTTTACACAAACTTCATTTTACAGCGGCATCTGGAGATCTGAAAGTTTATCAGTTATCAAGGTTGCAGAGCATAATCTTGAACCTAGGTCTCCTGAGTTTGTAGGCATCTCACTTTATCTTAGCTGTGCCATGTAACATGATTACAGAAGTTTAATGGAGGCATTCAAGGTTGAATTTTGGGATGGGCATGATGGCTTATGCCTATAATCCCAGCACTTTGAGAGCCCAAGGCAGGAGGATTGCTTGAGCCCAGGAGTTCGAGACTAACTTAAGCAACATAGTGAGACCCTGTCTCAGTTAAGGAAAAAATAAAGAAGAAAATGATTGGAATTTGAAAAAGGATAGGCTCTGCCAAAAAGTAGAAAAATTCTAGAAAGGGTGAAAGGTAGGTTGAAAGAATGAGAGATGAGAGCAAGACAGGTATGTTGGTGAAGGAAAGAAGTGATGTCACAAAAAATGCCCTTTGTTTATATATAGATAGGATTATTTGTGTTTTTGAGGATGTTTTGATGTCGAGAGGGGTAACTACAGTTATGTTGTCCATAACTCCCCTGTCTTGGCTATGCCATTGTTTCTATAGATGTTTTTCATATAATGACTTCATACCTGCATCTGTACTTGAATTATTTAATATACTTGAGTGCATATTCTAAGATTCCTTTTCCTGTGTTATGAAACTAATATGTATCCATTGCAGAATCTTAGAAAATTTCCACCTTAAATAGTGGAATTTTAAATGTTAAATAAATTAAATATATTCAATATTTAATTAAATAAATAATTTTAAATAATGTCTTTTAATACTTCGGGTTATCTTTCAGTTTGTTTTTGTAATGCATGTATATTTCTAAAGTTTAAAAATAATTGAGTCATAGTGTATGATAATTTTATTTCCCTAGAAGCTAGTTTAATTTTATTCTGAAGAATATTTATGTTTTGTGATTGTGGAAGGCTTATATTGTGAATATATGCCATTAAAAGTTTATAGTTGTTGGCTGAGTGTGGTGGCTCACGCCTGTAATCCCAGCACTTTGGGATACCAGGGTGTGCAGATCACTTGAAATCAGGAGTTCAAGACCAGCCTGGCCAACGTGGTGAAACCTCATCTCTACTAAAAATACAAAAATTAGCCAGGTGTGATGGCGTGCACCTGTAATCTCAGCTACATGGTGGCTCAGGCAGGAGAATTGCTTGAACCCAGTAGGTGAAGGTTGCAATAAGCTGAGATCGTGCCGTTATACTCCAGCCTGAGCCACAGAGCAAGACTGTCTGAAAAGAAAAAAAAGTTTATAGTTATTTTAACCTGTATGTTTACAAGTCAGGATTGTGAGTACCTTTCAGGATGCTGTATAAAGACTGGAAGAGAACACAGAAGGATTTTGGAGTGCTGTTTCAGAAGTATCTTAATTTTACTCCGTTAATATTATACTTTAATAAAGTTTAATAGGTATTAAAATACTTTCAAGTTGATAAGATTAACATGAATGGTTGGAAAAAAATTTGGAGACATTTTAAGTGACTGTTTTCTTCAGTTGTAATTTTAAGTGATATGTAAATAGTTCATTTTGTTAAAACTTTTGTTACTTAGGGAATATTATATAATGTGTCTAAGCTCCAGCTGTTTGGAGTAACTTATTTTTTTTCCCGGAAGACCATGTCTCACTCTGTCACCCAGGCTGGAGTGCAGTGGCACGATCTCGGCTCACTGCAACTGTGCCTCCCGGGTTCAAGCGATTCTCCTGCTTCAGCCTCCCAAGTAGCTGGGATTACAGGCACCCGCCAACACGCCCAGCTAATTTTTATATTTTTAGTAGAGACAAGGTTTACCCATGTTGGCCAGGCTGGTCTTGAACTACTGACCTGAGGTGGTCCACGCACCTTGGCTTCCCAAAGTGTTGGGATTACAGATGTCAAGCCACTGTGCCTGGCCTGGAGTAACATTGTACAGCTAGATGGAAGCCTGCGACAGTATTTCAAGGACTTTAACATCAGAAAATACAGTAACAAACCAGTCAGAAATGTGGGAACACTTTAATCTATTCCAGAAGTTAAGTTATATGGGAACAGATAAGGACTTTATCTATTTTATTCACCCCATATCCCAAACATTTTTTAGGCCACCTATTTGTTTAGTCAGTGAATTCCTGTTTGTGTTTGCTGTGCTCTCATATGCTTGGAGTGTTTTCACTTAATAAAAGAAAACAAAAAAACCACTTTGTCAGTTTTACAGGTGAAAATATTGTCTTTTAATTTGTATATCATTATTAATGAATGAAGTTTAAAATGTCTATTAATCACATGGATTTAATTTTTTGAAAATTTATTTCAGTAGTCTAGACCTGTGCTATTCAGTATGGTAGCAACTAGTTTAGTGTGACTATTAAACACTTAAAGTAGAACTAGTTTCAAATTGAGATGTGTCATAAATGTAAATACACATTAGATTTTAAAATCTTAGGAAAAAATGTAAAATATCTCAGAATTTAAAAATACCAGTTCCAGCCGGGCGCGGTGGCTCAAGCCTGTAATCCCAGCACTTTGGGAGGCCGAGGCGGGTGGATCACGAGGTCAAGAGATCGAGACCATCCTGGTCAACATGGTGAAACCCCATCTCTACTAAAAAATAAAAAAATTAGCTGGGCATGGTGGCGCGTGCCTGTAATCCCAGCTACTCAGGAGGCTGAGGCAGGAGAATTGCCTGAACCCAGGAGGCAGAGGTTGCAGTGAGCCGAGATCCATTACGCCATTGCACTCCAGCCTGGGTAACCAGAGTGAATCTCCATCTCAAAAATAAAAAATAAAAAATAAAACAATAAAAAAAAAAATACCAGTTCCATGTTGAAACTATAATGTTTCGGGCCTTTTGTGTTAAGTAAAGGCTTTATTAAAATAAATAAAATTGTTTATCAATTCACATTTAGTTTACTGTCCAGATCAGGACAGTACTTATATAGACAGTATTCTAATCATTACATGATTAGAACCTGGATTATGGTAGTATTTATAGAAAGGAAAGTAAGGAGTGATTTTTAAGAGACTATGCAGTATACATATATACTGTATAATCTCTACTATATTCCTGGATATTTCATAGTTCTTATGTACTTCCATCTTAGTTTTGTAATCAATAATAAGCTTTTTGAGGGCAAAGATTTATGTTACTATTTTTATATCCTTCTCTATATTTTGTCTTTTGCTGGGTGCATAGGAAGTCATTTGAACAAAGAATGATTTAACAGGATACGAGATAATTTTGTTTGAATTTTTAGAATGCAACTGAATGATCCCTACAGTTATTAAACCCTTTATTTAAATATTACAGTATCACCAAGTAGTCATATTGAGTCATACTGTTTTTGAAAGGAGCCAAGGGTAAGGGAACCAACATCTAGTCTTGTATATACTTAGTCATTTTACATCTTTTTTCATTTAATCCATATAGTAACCATATGAGGAAGGTATCAATTACCATCTTACAGATTGAAACTGAGATCAAGTAGTTTTTCTGTTACATTACTCATCCATAGATGCTCAATTTCAACAGTAGCACTTTTCCACTGTAACTGTCACTTCAACTAAAGTTAGTTATTTTAAGTGATTTGAAATAAATTTAATATTTTTGTTGACATGAAGTAAATGAAGAATACTTAGATTGAAATGTTTAATGATAAATTTTCATATGTATTTCATATTCAGTAAGGAAGGAAATTCAGAAATATTTCTCAAAACCTGAGAAGAAAAAGAAAAGTCATATTTGTTCCTCATTCTCATTTTATTCGTGCATTGCAATTCTAGATATTTACCTATAGTTTGTGCAGATTAAAAAAAATTGTAATTTTTTTTGTTTTAAATATTTCCTTTGTCTTCCAGATAAAATCAAAGACAAAATTAAAGAGAGAGACAAAGAAAAAGAGAGAGAGAAAAAGAAACATAAAGTAATGAATGAGATCAAGAAAGAGAATGGAGAAGTAAAGATTTTGCTGAAAAGTAAGTTTTATTCAGTGATTTTAGTTCTACTTTATTGTACTGTTCAGTGTCTGTATTGGCTAAGTGAATAAAATAAGAAATGTTATTTGGTGCTGAATTTTATGGAGAATAAACAGTAATGAGGAAATGAAAAGTAAATGTAACAATGGAGTATTCTAATCTGTATGGTAACATGTCTTATACTATATTTAGTGAGCCATTAATAAGTTAAGTTTTATTAATTAAATTTAATTTCTTAAATTATTTAAAAATAAGTTATCTAATTTTTTGTTTGCGTTACTGGTTTTATTCATATTTAGATAACCTAAATTAAAAGGAAGAAATTAAGAAAACTTGCCAAAGCAATTTTTAGTATGATAGGGAATGGTGAAGGAAGTGATTTTCTTAAAAATATTTGACTGTGATCACCATATCATAGTCTAGGATTTAGAGGGAACATTTTGCTCTGAGCTAAATCAGAAGGGATATGTTTCTTGTATGCTTAAGAATATCTTTGTTTTATTTTCTTTTTCTCTGTTTCAGTTGTTTGTCTGTTACAATTGCATTCATTTGCTGTTTATATATGAGGGTGGGTGGGGAGAAGAATTTGGGGATAGGTGATTGGGTAATAGGTATACTACAAATTCTATCAATAAGCTTCAACTTATAAAGAGAGAATTTGCAGTAGAATAGACGTAAGGATAGTCTTAAATTCACTCAGATGTCAAGGTAAGAAGAATCAGTGGAATTTGATTGCTAGACAATTAGCAGATTCACTAGCTAGCAAATTCACTAGTCCTATCAAGTTGACATTTGATGATCAGAACATGTTGACCTTGATTAATTTCATAATGAATTAAATTATTGATCAGGCTTTATATTTGTTTAAGTGGGGAAAGACCACAGTACTACATATGTAACAAAATAACTGGTAGTTTATATTCTTTAGGATAAAGAGTATTAGATTCTGTATTTTCATTGCATGTTTTGTTATGTTTTCAGATGTTCGTTGTCTATTTTCTACATGTGAGAACTTTATTTTCTATGATATTCTTTCAACCTTGAAGAAATACATCAGAGCTTAAGTTGGTGGCTACTTAGTTAATGCTCATGATCCTTTTCTGTTTCTTTTGCCAGTGTATTCTATCTGTGTTGTCTAGTTAGATTGTAAGCCTTTGGGGCAGGAATTGAATATAATCACGCTAGTTCTGTACAGCAGTTAGTGATGAATGCTTGAAAAGTCTACTTAAGTCCAGATGCAGTGGCTAACTCCTGTAATCCCAGCATTTTGGGAGGCCAAGGTGGGCAGATCACCTAAGGTCAGGAGTTTAAGACCAGCCTGACCAACATGGTGAAACCTTGTCTCTACTAAAAATATAAAAATTAGCCGGGGGTGGTGGTGGGTACCTGTAATACCAGCTACTTGGGAGGCTGAGGCACAAGAATCGCTTGAACCTGGGAGGTGGCAGTTGCAGTGAGCTGAGATCATGCCACTGCACTCTAGCCTGGGCGATAGAGCAAGACTTAGTCTCAATTAAAAAAGAAAAAAGTCTACTTAACTTTAACCTTGATTTAGTCAAATAGCCCTTTTTTCCCCTGGTTTAATCAGATAGTTGTTTTCTTATTCATTTGAAAATACGATGCTATAAATTCTGTCACTGGGAAGGAATTTATTTTAGAAATATTTTATGAAAGCCTCATATGTTCTTGATTGAATACTGGATTCCTAATATAATGTGAATAATGTGGATCCAGAGATTATACATGGAAATAAAATTTAAAACAGCCTAAAATTTGAGATTTTTTTTTTTTCAAAGTATTAACTTTGAAGTAGACAAATATTTAGGTGATATTTTGAACTGAGTTAAACTGAAACTAGTAATGATTAGGGTAAAAGAATGAGATAGATGTAGAAATTAATTTGTGACTTATGGTATGACCATGGAAAAATTTAGGGAAAATGTATTCTCAGTGGAGGTAAGTAATAATTTAATTACTGCCTTAAACAGTGTTACCAAGATTAAGTGAGGAAAAGTATGAGGTAAGTGCCAAGTATAGTATCTGGCTCACAGGTACACAGTAAGTAGATATGAATCTTTCTTGTAACCATGTATGAGAGACTCACTTTGTGATTAAAAAGCAACAAAACCAAACTCTCTCCTCAGTGTGTAGTACATAGATAATTAGGTGAATAAACACATGATTCATTTGGAAAACAGTGCTTGTCTCACTGAAAGCACTGAGTGTTATGTGTTGTTACTATCTACCAAAAAGAATTTGCTTAGTATGTGGGGCCATTTCCCAAGTGAGCCTATGGTAATGGTGGGGAAAGCCATCTTTTGTTGTTGGTGACTTGGAGCAACAAATGATTTTGTTTGCTGGGGACAAATACACTCTCATCTACTATTGTGTTCCGCTTTTTTCTTTGTGGCCTCCAACTTTTATTCTATCCTTATAATTTTTTTCTTCTGATAAAAATAATGTTGCAAGCTGTGGTATACACAGGTATTGATGGATGATGGCATTTGAATCTAAAATAGATGCTAACTAATCCATACCAATTCATTTCCTCCAAGTTTTTCTTAAAAATTATGTCAGGTAGGCCAGGTGTGGTGGCTCACGCCTGTAACCACAGCACTTTGGGAGCCGAGTTGGGTGGATTACTTCAGGCCAGGAGTTTGAGACCAGCCTGGCCAACCTAGTGAAACCCCATCTCTACTAAAAATACAAAAATTAGCGAGGCATAGTGGCGTTCACCTGTAATCTCAGCTACTTGCAAGGCAGAGGTAGGAGAATCGCCTGAACCCAGGAGGCAGAAGCTGTAGCTGAAATTGCACCACTACACTCCAGCCTGGATGACAGAGCGAGACTTGGACTTAAAAAAAAAAATTCTGTCCTTTTTTTGACTAGAAATATATGCAAAATCGTATACATGATAAAAAGTTTTTTGTTAATGTAAAAATTTTACAAAGGTTTATTTGCTAAGAAAGTTGGATTATTTTCTGTTTTCAAAATAGTTTAAAGGAACAAATAAGTTTGAAATAAAGCTTATTTAGTGGGTTTCATCATTTTATACTAAAGTTCACCAACTGCTTTTTCTGATCATATGTAATATGTTCCAGGCATTTTTGTGTTATTAATGATAAAGTGTGAGAATATGTGTTATGATTATAGTATTTTTGAGAATAAATGTTTATCATTATAGCATTTTAAAGAAGTTTGCTGGTGAGCAGTTAGAATGGGGGTTAAAAGAAGTCAGTGTTCAAAGTTATTGCTAGTGTACTGAAGGTCACAGGTAGGTAAATCATGGCTGGAAGAGTGACAGCATTGCAGTGCAAAAGAAGCAAAGTCATTCCCCAGAGACTAAAAGTTGAAATTAACTAAAGCTAATTAGTACTTTTTTTTTCCTATGCATAATAATGGAGGGGGGAGAGAAAGAAAGATACAAATTTATGAATATAAATTCTATAATAAATATATAAAATTGGTAAATATATATACAGATTCCCATATTAGATAGGAAATCAGATCCAATTTTTCTGAGTAACTTTTGTTTTTCACTTTATTAATACACAAAGTATACGAAAGTTAGTGGTAGAATCAAGCCAGAGAATTTATGATTTTAAAAGGTTTTTTTTCCCCCATAATTAGCCATTAACAACCCATGCTGTCTTTGTTTCTGTGTGCACTTCTTTCTGTCTCCGTGAGTGTATTTTTTTCTCTGGCTCTAAGTATATCTGCCTCTGTGTTTCTGATTCCTTCACTCCCAGTCTGGCACTCTCTCTGGCTCTGACTCTATACATGTGTACATCTGTGGTGCTCTTTGTGTGTGGTCTGCCATGTGCATTTGTCTGTGACTTTGGGGAGGGTCTCCCATCAACATTTTACTTTACTTTTTTTTTTTTGAGACAGAGTTTTACTGTGACACCAAGTCTGGAGTGCGGTGACACAGTCTGGACTCACTGCAACCTCTGCTTCCTGGGTTCAAACAATTCTCCTGCCTCAGCCTCCTGAGTAGCTGGGACTACAGGGACACACAACCATGCCAGGCTAATTTTGTTGTTTTTAAGATATTAATTACCTAAATATGATGACTTACCTAGGCAGCAAGTCTGATTTTGATAACATTCAAATATATGTCAGCTGCTTACAGATAGACTCTTTGGAGAATTAACACTTTGCCTTTTATGACTTCATATACCTAGGTAATGAATAACATTGACACGTTTCTGTTTTTGGTTCTTATGATACTAAATTGTTCTTCATTACATACTTATGATTATCACTTTTATGAATTATTACAGATAATTTCTTAACATTAAACTTCACTTTTATAGAATGCTATCAACTTGAGATAGTTTTTGTTGTTTTCAGGGCTGGAATTTAGTGGTAGTCATATGTGCAAAAACTTGACTGAAAGGAAGATAAGGGAAAAAACTATAAGCCTTATGTAATCAGTTAGTGAGATAGATTTTTTAAATTCATCCTTTAAGTGTTCTTGTGTAGCAATATGCCTGATACTATCAGGGGCATAATGATAGAAAACGAGGTATCATTTCACTCTAAATTAATACAAAGGTTATTTGTTTCACTCCTACAGTGTTGACAGACATATGGTATATAAGTATCCTATGAGTGAAACATGTAACTTTTATAATATATGAGTTAGGAGTGAAGAACTTGAGAAATGAGGGAAAGCAACATGAAGAAAAGGATGTAAGAGTTGTCTTTAATGCAGTGGTCCCAAACCTTACTGATACCAGTGACCAATTTTGTGGAAGACAGTTTTTCCATGGATGGACAGGGGATGGTTTTGGGATGATTCGAGGGCATTACATTTATTGTACACTTTATTTCTATTATTATTACATTACAATATGTAATGAAATAATTCTATAACTCACCATAATGTAGAATCAATGGGACCCCTGAGCTTGTTAATCTATATTTGCAGCAGCTCCCAGCACTATGTCATTGCCTTGGCTCTGTCTCAGATCATCAGGCATTAGATTCTCATAAGGAGAATGCAACCTAGATCCCTCACATGCATAGTTCACAGTAGGGTTCACCCTCCTATGAGAATCTGATGTCGACAGGAAGTAGAGCTCAGGCAGTAATGTGAGTGATGGGGAATGGCTGTAAATACAGATGAAACTTTGCTGGCTCACCTCCTGCTGTTCAGCCCAGTTCTGACAGGATATAAACCAGTACCGGTCTGTGGCCCAGTGTGGGTGGGGATCCCTGCTTTAATGGATGGTATATCAGTCCATTCACACACTTCTCTAAAGAAATACCTGAAACTGGGTAATTTTTAAAGAAAGGGGGTTTAATTGGCTCATGGTTCTGCAGGCTGTACAGGAAGCATGATGCTGGCATCTGCTCAGCTTTGGGGAGGCCTCAGGAAACTTTCAATTATGGTGGAAGGTGAAGGGAAAGCAGGCACAACATACATGGCCAGAGCAGGAGAGAGGGGGTGATAGGGGAGCTGCAGCACACTTAACCAGATATCACTCACTATGGTGACACAGCACCAAGGGGGAAATCCACCCCCATGATTCAGTTACCTCTCACCAGGCCCCACCTTCAACTGTAATTGGGGATCACAGTTCAACATGAAATATGGGAGGGGACACAGATCCAAACCATATCATTTTATCCCTCGCCCCTCCCAAATCTCATGTCCTTCTCACATTGCAAAATTCAGTCATGCCTTCCCAACAGTCCCCCTAAATCTTAACTCATTCCAGCATTACCCCAAAAGATCAAAGTCCAAAGTCTCATCTGAGACAAGGCCAAGTCTCTTCCACCTATGAGCCTATAAAATAAAAGACAACAAGTTAGTTACTTCCAAGATAGAGTGGGGGTATAGGCATTGAGTAAACACTCCTGTTTCAAAAGTAAGAAATTGGCCAAAAGAAAGGAGCTACAGGCCTCGTGCAAGTTTGAAACCCAGCAGGGTAGTCATTAAATCTTAAGTTCCAAAATAATCCCCTTTGACTCCATGCCCCACATCCAGGACACTCTATTGGAAGAGGTGGGCTCCCAGTGCCTTGGGTAGCCCCAGGCCCTGTGGCTATGGAGGGTTCAGCCCCTGTGGGTGCTCTCAAGGACTGGTATCGAGTGCTTGAGCTTGAGGCTATTCCAGGTGCACAGTACAAGCTTTTGGTGGATCTACCATTTCAGGGTCTGGAGGACAATGGCCTTCTTCTCATAGCTCCACTAGGTAGTGCCCCAGAGGAGACTCAGTGTGGGGGCTCCAACCCCACATTTCCCCACATTACCTTTTCCAAACCTTTATGGTTTGGAAAATTTGCAGTCTGGTCATGTGGTAGAAAAGAAAAGCCAATTGTCAGGGAAGGAGTTCGAGCAGGCTGCAGAAGTTTGCATAAATAAAATGAAAGAGCCAACTACTAATAGCCAAGACAATGGGGAAGAGTCCTAGAAGGCATTTCAGAGAACCTCATGGCAGCTCCTCCCATCACAGGCCTGGAAGCCTAAGAGGACTGAATGGTTTCCTGGGCCAGGCCTGGGGCCTGCTGCTCTGCACAGCCTCAGGATACTGCTCACTGCTCTCCAGCCACCCCAACTCCAGCTGTGGCTCAAAGGGGCCCAGGTACAGCTTGAGCCACCATTTCAAGGATGCCAGCCATAAGACTTCTGTGTGGTGTTAAGCCTGCCAGTACACAGAATGCAAGACTTGTGGCTTGGAAGCTTCCACCTAGATTTCGGAGGACGTATGGAAACACCTGGATATTCAGGCAGAAGCCTGCTGTAGGGATGGAACCCTCATGGAGAATCTCTCTACTAGGGGAGACACTTCCACGTTGTCAGATATCTTTATAGCAATGCTTCATTCCTCAGTACCAATTTTCTGTATTAGTCCATCGTTCTACTCTTATAAATAAATACCTGAGACTGGGTAATTTATAAAGAAAAGAGGTTTAATTGGCTCATGGTTCTGCAGGCTGTACAGGAAGCATGATGCTGGCATCTGCTCAGCTTCTGGGGAGGCCTCAGGAAACTTTCAGTCATATCAAATGTACAGGAAAGAGTTCAGTGGTAAGTAATGAGCAAGGCAAGAGTATTTTAAGGAGAGGAAATGCCTTTGTCAGTCGAGATATGTTTTGTAAGAAATTGTAAATAAGTAGTGCAGTTTGACCAGAGCACGAGGTACTTGAGGGGCACTGTCTTAGGATTCCAGACTGAAGAGATAGGTAGACTTTGGGAGCTCTTGAAAGCAGTTTAGCTAAGGAATGAATATGATAAAAGAATGTATAAAAATTACAGAAAGGTTAATATGGCTCTAGCATTCAGGATGAGAGACCGTTACATGGCTGTTAGACCAAAATTTGAGACAGTGGCATCAAGGAATTCAGAAGTAATCAAGGATGAGCTGGATAATTCTGTCAAATCATGGAGAGACTAGAAAAAATGATTTGAGTAAATACAACTGGTTTTGATATTTCAACATTCTGGGAAAGCAAATTTAATCAGATTGAAAGCAGAACCAGAATTTAAACAGTAAGAATGGTAAGGTGATGAAAGAAAGACACTGGACAAGATGATTATTTTTTCTTTTTTTATTCTTTTTGAGATGGAGTTTCACTGTGTCACCCAGGCTGGAGTGCAGTGGCACGATCTCCGCTCCCTGCAGTCTCTGCCTCCCTGCTCAAGCAGTCCTTCTGCCTCAGTCTCCTGAGTAGCTGCGATTACAGTTACACGCCACCACACCCAGCTAATTTTCATGGTTTTAGTAGAGACAGGATTTCAGTCTATTGGCCAGGTTGCTCTTGAACTTCTGACCTCAAGCAATCTGCCCACCTTTGCCTCCCAAAGTGCTGGGATTACAGGCATGAGCCAACGCACCTGGTCTGAATATATTTTTTTTTAATTTAAAAAATTTCTTCTTCATTTTTCTTTTTTAAGCACTCAGAGCATAGATTATTTATAAAAAAAATTTGGTGGTCAAAAGACTTGGGTTATTGGAGTTGGTGGGAGGGACTTATTTTTGAAAATAGGCAAAACGTCTCATTTACTGGAAGCAGAAAGGAAAAAAGATATGGGAAGATGGAAGTATTTAGGTAAAGAAGCAGATTGGGAGTATTTCATTCATGGCAGATTTTCTGTGAAACTGAGGTAAAAGGTGGAAACATTGAGTGCCTTTTCTCAGCCTTTAGTTTGGTTTTATATTATCTCTCCTGATGATATTTACTTGTTTCTATTTTTCTTATACAGAAATGAATACAGTGTGATAATATTAAGTGTTTATATATATATACTTAGATTCTATAGCTGTGGATTAATCTTTTATTCTTTGGATTTCTACATTTCTGAGCCCAGATCTATGTACTTTTGTTCACAAAAGCTCTTTAATATACAAGTACCTTTTTATTCATCTGTTTACCAGTATGTGGGTATTATTTGAGCTTAGAAAATGAGAAATGATTCTGATTTTTGTCATCTTTTCTGTAGTACCTGTCTGGGTTTTTACTGTAGTTTTGTAAACTGTGGTGGACCTAAAGTAGACCATATTAGATGCAAGAGTAATTTACTAAGGAGGAAATATGGTAAAACGCTAAGGAATTGCTCTGTTTGTTGCTGTTATATTGTGCAACAGTTTTCTCCCTTTATGATTTATAAATCTCCATGATGACACTTTGATGCAATATTTAAGACCTGAGGTAAAGTAAAATTGATAATATATATCAATGAGTAACATCTAGAGGACATTGTTTATATTGATCTTTTTTCATCTTTACATTTCTGACTTTCTACAACATTTGAAGATTGTTTTCTAAACTACTCATTCATCTCTTTATTTCAGTGAACCGTGAACATTTGCTTTGTGTCAGAAAGCACACACTGTAGATGTAACTTTGCTCTAAGCCTGTCTCTGTCTCTCTCTGTGTAGATGAAGAGACTAATATAAATTCTGTAAAAAATGAGTCCTAAATATATAATTCTGAGTAAATTTTCAGAAGTAAACTTCTTATTTATCCAAAACTGTTCCTAAAACATGGTTTTTAAAATAATTATAGAATTTCAAAAAACATTTTTTTCCAACAGGTGGGAAGGAGAAACCAAAAACAAATATAGAAGACTTACAAATTAAAAAGGTAAAGAAGAAAAAGAAAAAGAAACACAAAGAGAATGAAAAACGGAAGCGTCCAAAAATGTATAGCAAATCTATTCAGACCATCTGTTCAGGATTGCTAATTGATGTTGAAGATCAAGAAGCCAAAGGCATTCTAAATGATAACATGAAAGATTACATTGGAAAGAATTTGGATACCAAGAACTATGATTCCAAAATTCCAGAGAACAGCGAGTTTCCATTTGTCTCATTAAAGGAGCCACGAGTTCAGAATAACCTCAAAAGGTTGGACACTTTGGAATTTAAACAACTCATTCATATAGAGCACCAGCCTAATGGAGGTGCATCAGTCATTCATGCCTACAGTAACGAACTAGCTCATCTGTCTCCTATGGAGATGGAGAGGTTTGCAGAAGAGTTTGTGGGTCTAGTGTTCAGTGAAAATGAAAACTCTGCAGCTTTCTATGTGATGGGTATTGTTCATGGGGCAGCTACTTATTTACCTGACTTTTTAGACTATTTTTCATTTAATTTTCCCAATTCTCCAGTGAAAATGGAGATATTGGGAAAGAAAGATATAGAGACAACGACTATGTCCAATTTTCATGCTCAGGTAAGAGGTTTTTGGTTTTATTTTATAAAATAACTTTTAATTATATATTTTTAAGATAAGTTTCTGTTCTTTGTTCCTGGTTTGAAATAAAAAGGTAAGAATATAATGAAACCATTTGGGAGTACTAAATTACTTTCTTGATGTGAGAATCAGGATTTAAAATTCAGTTTCCACTTAAATGTGTTTTTTTCTTAAAGATAATGAAATAATTAAGATTCTGTCATCCTTTTTTTGCAAGGAGATATCTTAAACCTAAGAAAATGAATTTCACCATGTATTCTCCAGTCCTTAAATAGTTTTCTTACCTGAAAATCACCTAAAATTGTCTTCCACCTTTATAATGTTTTAAGATACTTAGCACTAGGCGCATCACATGCTAGTTACTGAATAAATGTTAGCCCTTAAAAATATTGTGGTCGGGCATGGTGGCTCCTGCCTATAATCCCAGCACTTTGGGAAGCCGAGGCAGGTGGATCACCTGAAGTTGAGAGTTCAAGATCAGCCTGACCAACACGGAGAAACCCAGTCTCTACTAAAAATACAAAATTAGCTGGGTGTGGTGGCGCATTTCTGTAATCCCAGCTACCTGGGTGTCTGAGGCAGGAGAATCGCTAGAACCTCGGAGTCAGAATGTGGTGAGCTGATGTCATGCCATTGCACTCCAGTCTGGGCAACAAGAGCAAAACTCTATCTCAAAAAATAAAAAATAACAAATAAATAAAATAATACTGTGGTACAAAGGAGTCATCAGTTATTATGTAATGATGTGTAAAAAGTAGCAATCACTATATATCTTGAGCTAATTTCCATTTCCTGCCCTTCTCTGTAGTGGAGAATATGCATTATTCTGGAAAGCAGACAGAACAGAGTCTGCTGGTTCTTGAACATCTGTGTGGGTCCATCTGAAAGGCTGGTGCCATCGTTATCCATCCTCAGATTGGGACTGTTTATGCTAGGAGTTTGGCCAGTTCTCATATTTATTGATGCTGTAGTTTTTGGTTTTCTAGAAACAGTTTTGGTTTCTAGGACAACATTCTAGTTTGGAAGGAGGAAAAAAGTAAAGGAAGTCTCAAATGGAGCTTAGTGATTATTTATTTATCCCAACGTTTCTCAATTTACAAACAAGTAAACAGTTGTAGAAAGAGAGGAGTAACTTACTGTTTAAAGTTGTCAGCAGTATCAGGAATAGAACGAAGTCTTAATCTTCATCCAGGGCTGCTTTCCTTATTCTGAATATATTTCTATTTGGATGGGTGCTAAAATTACAACTTCCACTTTAAATGGTAGTCTGGATGTTCAGTCTGCCCCCAACAGTAGGTTTGGTATATAATGCGTAGTATATTGTAGTCGGGAAAATAATTTTTTGTTTTTCTGAGCTGGAGTCTTGCTCTTTTGCCCAGGCTGAAGTGCAGTGGAGCAATTTCAGCTCACCGCAACCTCCACTGGATTCCAGGTTCAAGTGATTCTCCTGCTTCAGCCTCCCAAGTAGCTGGGATTACAGACGTGCACCACCACACCTGGCTTTTTTTAATTTTTATTTTTAATAGAGACAGGGTTTCTCCATGTTGGTCAGGGTGATCTTGAACTCCTGACCTCAGATGATCTGCCTGCCTCAGCCTCCCAAAGTGCTGGGATTACAGGCATAAGCCACCATGCCCAGCCTGGAAAATAATTATTAGTGTGCATGTGGGGGGGAATTATTCTCTAACATAACATGTTTTAGAATTGAAATTTAAATATTTTTAAAGTGGTTAGGGAGCTATAGAGCATCCATTACTAGCCCTGTTATTTTATAGAATCCCAAAATGGTTAGTTACTTGTCTGAGGTTACACCTGCGTTTAATGGAAGAATCAGGACTGGCATCTAATAATACTGTTTACTCTTTATTGAGTACTGATTGTGCCAAGGACTAGTTCTAAGTATTTTATATGTAGCAAGTCATTTAATCCTCATTATAATCTTATTTTAGCCATGAAGAAACATCCAGTGAGAGAAGAAATAACGTGCTCAAAGTCCCTTATCACTTTATCATTCATTTGTCATTTCTTATATGTCTCCTAAATGCCAGGTTTTATAGTGGGCCTCTTGGCTCCCATTGCCAGTTGTTTCCACAGTATCACAAACTATCTTGCTTTGATACAATGCAAGTTTGCTTCAGTAATCTTTTGAATGGGACAGCACACTGATGCGCATCACATTACATGCTTTTCAAATGGTTTTTCAGAAGTTAGGAATTATTCATTTTATGCTAAATGATAAAAATTTTCATCCAAACTGTAATACGTACACCATGAAAACGATTTTTGTTACTAAATAAAATGAGATGCTGGACTTGCTAATCATGACAGTGTGTGCCTGGGTTGTGGATCTCAAGTCCTTGATGAGCCACCAATCCTGGTTGTCACCATCTCTTCAGGCTTTTTGGGTAGTATATATTGCAAAGAGGAAATTCCAGGCAGATCTATCCTCTTTGTTACCAGCTGTGGTTCTGGCCCCATGTCTTTGTGATCTGCTACCCTGGTGACCTAAGCATGTCAGCTGCACGGACTACTTTTGCTTCTTTAGCTTTAGACTTCGAGGCAAGAAACTATATGTGCAAGGACCATATTCCTTTTATTGCAAGAGCCTTCAGATGTTATTCCTGTGACTGGGGAAGTTGCTGTCTACAGTAGATTGGAAGATAGCCTTCGGTTTGTCCTTAGGTACTGGCTTTATGAAACTGAATGGGAAGAAGAGACAGCAATAGGAGAAAAATAAGCATGCTTATTTTTGCACAGTTCTATTTCTCAGCCCTTGAGTCCTCCCAGTAAAAGCTCTGTCTCAGCCTATATTGAAGTGTCCCTCCAGGAGTTGATTTTATTTAGTAAACTTTTTACTGAAATATAATCTATACACAGAATACATAATACACATATTATAAATGTATAGCTTGATGAATCTTCACAGAGAACACACCCATGGTTTAAAAAAGCCAAATATTATTAGTAGCCAGAAACTTTCCCCAAACCCCTTTTTAACAATAATGTGCCAACCTCCCAATCCCACCACATGCAAAAATACCCAGGAGATCACTGTCCTGACCTTGAACACCACTGATACATTTTGCTTCTTTTTGAACTTTAATGGAATCAGATAGTATGTACATGTTTTGTCTGGTCTCTTTCCTGTAGTATAATGTTTGTGAGATTCATCCATCTTGTATGTAGTGGTACTGCTGTATGGTATTCCATTGTGTTAATATACTACAGTTTGTTGTTTATCTTCTTACCATATAGATGGACATTTGAGTTGTTTCCAGTTTGAGGCTGTTAGAACAGGGGTGCTATGAATATTTTTCATGTGTCTTGATGAGTATATACCTAATATTAGGATTTCAGGATCAAAACATATGCAGATACTCAGTTTTGCTAGATACTGCCAGTGTTCCAAAGTTATTATGCTGATTTACATTTCCACTAGCAGTGTTCCACATCCTTTGCCATGTTTAGTAGTGTCTTTTTCATTTAAGTCATTCTGGTGATTATGTAGTGGTAGATCCCTGTGGTTTAATTTGTATTTCCCTGATATCTAAGGATGTCAAGTACTTTTTTATATGATTGTTATTTGGTTGAATTATCCTCTTTTGTAAAGTACCTGTCCACTCTGTCCATTGCTTATTTGTTTTTTTCTAGTTGATTTGTTGGACTATTATATATGTAGATAAGAATCTTTTGTCACCTAACTGTATTGCAAATATTTCTTCTCACTTGGTGTCTTACCATTTCACTCTTAGGTATCTTTTGATGACTAGAAATTTCTAAGTTTAATATAATCTAATTTATAGTTTGTAAGCCATTTATGATTACTGTTTCTTTTTTTTCCTTTTTTTTCTTGAGATGGAGTCTCTCTCTGTTGCCCAGGCTGGAGTGCAATGGTGTGATCTTTGCTCACTGCAACCTCCGCCTCCCAGATTCAAGCGATTCTGCCTCAGCCACTCAAGTAGCTGGGACTACAGGTGTGCATCACCATGCCTGGCTAATTTTTGTATATTTAGTAGAAGCGGATTTTCACCATATTGGTCAGGCTAGTCTTAAACTCCTGACTTCGTGATCAACCCGCCTTGGCCTCCCAAAGTGCTGGGATTACAGACGTGAGCCACTGCACCCAGCCTATGATTACTGTTTCTTATGTTCTGTTGTGGAAATCTTTGTCTACCACGAAGTCCTTAATATAGTCTGTAAAGTTTTCTTCTGGAAAGTTTTATTGTTTTACCTTTCATGGTTAAATCTATAGTTAATAAAACAGCTAAAAGTATTGGAAAAATAGTTTATAGTCCTTCTGGAATTGATCTTTGTCTATGGCATGTGGTAAAGATCAAGATTCATATTTTTCTGTATAAATATCCAAAGGACCAAGCAGCATTTATGGAAAATATATCTTTTCCTCATTGCATTGTATTGTCACCTTAGTCATAAAACAGCTAATCATATGCATGTGTCTGTTTCTGGACTCTCTCTGATTCCATTGTTTTGTTTGTCTAATTGTTATAGCTTTATAATAACTAGATTGATTGATAGTTACAGGGTCTTGCTTTATCACTCAGGCTAGAGTGCTGTGGTACGATCATAGTGCTGTGTAGCCTCAAATTCCTGGGCTTAAGTGATCCTTCCACATCAGTCACCTGGTAGCTGGGGCTACAGGTGTGAGCCACTGTGCGCATCTAGAATCAGTTTGCCAGCTTTGTTCTTCAAGATTTCCTTGGCTTTTTACATTTTCATATAAACTTTTTAGAATCAGCTTTCCACATTTCACAGAATTATCTGCTAGAATATTCCTTGGTATTAAAAGAATCATAGAAACAGCTACATAATTTGTCATCTTTTAGTTACTACAGAATTTAAAGCAAACTATTTTTTTTGCCTCAATTATAATTTAAGAACAAAAGATGTCAAGTACAAAACTTTTCTCTGCTTTCCTCTGCTCTGCAGAAAGCAGTATCATCTCATAACAAAAGCAGGGT